TCGATCTGCTTGAGGGTAGGAAGGCTCTGCAGGAGGATCTGGATAGGCTGCACCGATGGGCTGAGGTCAACTGTATGAAGTTTAACAAGGCCAAGTGCCGGGTCCTGCACCTGGGGCGCAATAACCCCAAGAAGAGCTACAGGCTGGGAGAGGAATGGCTGGAGAGCTGCCAGGCAGAGAAGGACCTGGGAGTGATGGTGGACAGTCGGCTGAATATGAGCCAGCAGTGTGCTCAGGTGGCCAAGAAGGCCAACGGCATCCTGGCTTGTATCAGGAACACTGTGACCAGCAGGGCTAGGGAGGTGATCGTCCCCCTGTACTCGGCTCTGGTGAGGCCGCACCTCGAGTACTGTGTTCAGTTCTGGGCCCCTCGCTACAAGAAGGACATCGAGGTGCTTGAGCGGGTCCAGAGAAGGGCGACGAAGCTGGTGAGGGGCCTGGAGAGCAAGTCCTATGAGGAGCGGCTGAAGGAGCTGGGCTTGTTCAGCCTAGAGAAAAGGAGGCTCAGGGGTGACCTTATCACTCTGTATAAGTATATTAAAGGAGGCTCTAGCGAGATGGGGGTTGGCCTGTTCTCCCATGTGCCTGGTGACAGGACGAGGGGGAATGGGCTAAAGTTGCGCCAGGGGAGTTTTAGGTTAGATGTTAGGAAGAATTTCTTTACTGAAAGGGTTGTTAGACATTGGAACAGGCTGCCCAGGGAGGTGGTTGAGTCACCATCCCTGGAAGTCTTCAAAAGACGTTTAGATGTAGAACTTAGGGATATGGTTTAGTGGGGACTGTTAGTGTTAGGTCAGAGGTTGGACTCGATGATCTTGAGGTCTCTTCCAACCTAGAGATTCTGTGATTCTGTGATATTCTTTATTGCAGCGCTGGATGCACGGGGGATCCTTCCGCCTATCGTGCACGTTCGAAGTGACAAAATATCTCATATTTATACAGCGAAACAATGAATATTCAATTAGCACCCATACATATTCATTACCTATCCCCGCCTACCCTCGCTTCGTATGCTAATTAGCTTATCAGTCCTTGCACTTGCGCATAAGTCTTCCAAGAATTGTGGGCCGGGGTCTCCAGGATGTGGGCAGTGGTCTTTGGGAGGAAGGCCGTAGGTCTTCCTCATAATGCACTTTTCACCTTTGTTTAATCAGTTGTTTTCCAAGCTGTAAAAATGCTGAGTTGGCTTTCAGTTTAACTGAGGGTCGGCAGATAACAGGAAGTCTCAGTTAACAAGACAAGACAGTTGACTCAAGTTATCTCAAGTCTCAGCCTGACTAACGGTTAACAGATACTGGGATGTTTTCAAATAACAAGATGCTTAAACATAACAGAAGGTCTACAGATAACAAGATGTCGTTTACTTTGTCCTTGCTAACTTTTAACCACAAGTTTTATTCTATCCTAAAGTGAGTTTATACTATATCACAGGTCGGGTCTCAATGGAGCGGAGCACAGGCCGTGAATCACCTCCCTCCATGTTCTGGACATGCTACTGTCAAGGCAGACAAGCATGGAAACAAAGCTTCTTTCCTTGGCCAAATTCAATTCTGGCTTCGATTTAGCTCTCCTAACTTGATTCCTATCTTGCCTCATCAGACTATGTATCTATATTCTTTCCAGTCTACCTGTCCTTGCTCCTACCCTCTATGGCCTTCTCTGTCATGTTTGAGTTCAGCCAGTTGCTCCATGTTCATTCATGCAGGTCTCCTGGCATTTTGCCTGACTCCCTCTTGGGATGCATCACTCCTGAGCTTGGAGGAGGTAATCCTTGAATATTGCTTGAATATTCCTGGAATATTAACCAGCCTTCTTGGGCCCATCTCCCCTTCAGGGGTTTGTATCATGGTACTCTACCAAGCAGATGCCTGAGCAGGCCAAAGTCTGCTCTCCAGAAGTCCAGGGCAGCAAGTTTCTTGTGCTTCCTCCTCACTGTGCTCAGGAACCTAAATTCCACCAATTCACAGTAACTGCAGCCAAGGCTGCCCTTGAGCTTCACAGTCCCACCAACCCCAGGTACTATGAGAACGAGGTCCATAATATAGCACCTGTCCTTGTAGGCTCACCTTGTGCACTCACCTGAGTGCCCGGTTGCTTTTGTTCACACATCTGCTCTTGTCTTGTGGCAACCACTGTGCAGCTGGCTTTGTGTGAAGGCACGTGGGTGCAGAGATTTGTCCAGGACTCCATGCAGGTATAGATGAGCACGTGACTGTGTCCTTGTTTCCCCTTTATCACGAGGGAATGTGCACAGTTGTAGCACTCTCCTGTGCTCTGTGCATGAGTCCTGCAGGGGAGCGGGTTCCCATTGTCAGAAGGAGCCTGAGAGCAGCTGAACGCAGATGGCACCAGCCTCTCAGAGGTGTGTGCAGTGAAGAGGCACTGGAAAATACAGCTCCTTTCTCCTGAGCCCTCCTTTTCGTCCCGCTGCAACAATCACCCTCTGTTCCTGCCATCTTCAGGCCCAAACAAGGACCGTATCAGGACAGTTTGGATCCTTGGTTTAATTCAGGATAGCAACGTTTGGAGTGCCTCTGAGTGGCTGTCCATCGTTGACCTTGGGATGTACAGGAGAAGCAGACTGCTGTAAGGCTCCTGAGAGTGCCTGTCAGTCAGAGATTTCCAACCCTGGATACTGCCAGGTTCATCTGGGAGTCAATGCCAGTGCCAGGCCCATCTCCTCTCACTTGTCTAGAAAGGCCTGCCAGCATTGTCTCAGAAATGCATCGTAGAGGGGACAGATTCCCATGGCTGGTTCTGCCTGGACTGGCTGGTTCGCCTGAGGGTAAAGGAGCAGCTGTCACTCCTCCATGTGTAGAATATCACAGCAAAGGGATCACACAATAGCAAGAGTAATTTCTGTGTCCCCATCCCACTCCCCCTTCTGCCAAATGAATTCTCAGCATTTGAAGTCTTCAGTATGGCTGACTGTCTGGCACAGTGTTCATAGCTCCTGAGAGCCCTTCCCGGAGGCCCAAGCCTGCAGCTTTGGCGTGGAGGGCACCTTCTGCCTGAGTAGCAGCTGGCAGTGCCAGACATCCAGTCCTGCTGAATGCTTTCATTAGGGCCACAAGCAGTCCAAAGGAGGGCACCCTCGGTCAGTTTGTGCATGGTCCCCAACCAGGGCACACAGGTGGTGACAGCGTAGGTCACAAATGTGCTGTGGAGAACACAGGCTGGCTGGAGAAAGGGGGTGACCAGAACCTCATTTTGGTGCAAAGGAGCAAAGAAAAGGATTTTCCTCTTGGGCAGGAAGAGCCCCAGAGTAATTCAGGATGGGGGCTGGCTGCCAAGGAAGCAAACCCTCAGGAAAGGCTTTTGGGTGCAGGAGGCACCCAGCCACACACGAGCCAGCAGCGCGCCCTTGCAGCAAAGGCAGCCAACGGCCTGTGCAGCTGGAGGCATCAGGGGGTGCCCCGCAGGGCGTGGGGCCGGGCAGGTGGGGCGTGGGCGAGGCGGGGGCACAGCCACAGTCGGGCCGCGTGGGGTCGCTGCCGGTGCTTGGAAGTCCCCTTGCAGGGCCTGGAGTTTAACAGCATGGTCCCGAGGGAGCCTCAGAACAGCCACACTGGGTTTCCTCCGTTTTCTGCAGTGGTCTTGTTTCCAAGAGCTTGTTGTACAGGTTTCTTCCTAAGCCCAAATCCAGGACCTCTAGCGCTGAGATGACATCCTGGCAATACAACAAATATCTGTGCTGGTCACTCACTCTAATGACACGTGTTGGAACCTTGGATCTTGCCAAAGGACTGAGTTGTAGAGGAGTTTGCTGCACTAGCCAGCACTGTTGAAGGTCTGTCCTTGGTGCAGGATTCACTCCTGTGTGTGCAGAGGTGCTGACTGCTGAGCAGAGCGCTGTGGTGCGGCGTCCTTCCCTGCCAGATAGTGTGTGGCTCTCCCAGGGGATTGGGTGGAAGGGGGGTGGGGGAAGCAATCCCATCTTCATTGACAGCAGAGGTGGGTGCAGGTCTCTGTGTCTGGCCGGGTTCTGGATGGGAGGGGGAGGCCACTGGGGACACTTGCCCCTTGCTGGGGCTGCCCACCTGCTGGAAGGGGCAAAAAGAGGGAAGCACACAGCAGCCATGTTGGTGCCCTTTTGCCTTACAGCTGACCAAGTGAAATGTCCTAGCCTTCACAGGCTTTCAGCTGTGAGCTAACTGCACAAGTGTGACGCTCCCCCAGTGCTGGAACAATACTGGCTGGCCATGGGGATCCTAGGGCACGGCAAAGATTGGCTGGATTCCTTTCTGACTGCTTTAGCCACTAGTCCATCCCTCTCTTGAGAGCCTTGCTAGGGCAGAGGTGAGCCCCAAGGAGCAGCAGGGGGAGAGCTTTGCTCCACCCTCTGTGCTGAGGTTTAGAGGCTGCTTTGAGCTGGCAGAGGGGGAAGTGAACTTGCAAGCTTGAGCTCCCTCTTTCCAGGCACTACGTGGGCACCCTGTGAAGGCGAGAGCGTGACATGGTCCTGCTTTTCCTGGCAGCCCTGTTGGCACTGTCAGACTTTGGTGAGATGTGACTTTGAGGCAGGGCAAGCTAGGGTCAAGATGGCATCCCATCATTTCTGGAGGGGGGAAATTGGACTCCTTCCTCCTGGAAGAACTAGAAGTGTTTTCTGTAGGGAGAGCAGGGGCTGCAGACCAGTACGGGAGACAGTCTGGGAGATGTCAGGAGCAACGAGTGTACAGGGATGAATAAGCTTCTACACTTTTCCTTTGCAGATGCCTAGCATTCACATACATGCATTGTTCACAGGTACATAAGGACTCAAATCCTGGTGAGATACTCCTAAAAAGTAGGTAAGCTGACAGACTTGGTTATGGGAATTGAATAACACCTGCAGAAAGAAGAGTGCATGTGTACTTAGCTCAGCATTCTATAGCCCATGAAAAGGGAGATGGAGAGTGGGGACAGTGAACAAGTTGGTGAGCTGATAGACACAGGAGAGAGAGGGGGAGAACAGATACATCTTCAAGCAGTGCTGAGATGCTGTTCTGGCTTTGCAGGTCATGCACAGAAGGACTCTGTGGTGCAGTTTGCACAAGAAACTGCCATCCAGGTGGGACACAACGCTACTCTGCACTGCAATTTCTCCACCAGCACCTCTACACCCTATATCTTCTGGTACCAGCAGCGCCTGACCCAGTCCCCTCAGTTCTTGCTGCAGGTGAGCAAGTTCAAGCCTCATGTGCATTCTGAGAGGATCTCCTCCGTGCTCTCCATGGAGAACTCCCAGGTGCTTCTCCACGTGCAAGATGCCAAGCTCCAGGACAGCGCTGTCTACCTGTGTGCACTGAGCCCACACTGGTGCCTTCAGCTTGCAGCTTTATACAGGAAGGTGCGGGTGCTGTGAGGTGCAGTTCCGTCTCATCACAGTTTGCATAGCGCTCTGAGCTGAGCCTGCCCAGCAAGGACACCTGGGGCTTGTGGTGAGCCAGCAGCCCCTGCTCCTGATGCCTGGCAGTGTGGTTAGCATAACCAACAGAAAGGCAAATATTCATCATGTGGAAGGGGCTGTTAATGTGCACCCCTGCCTCCTTGTCTCTCCCTCTCATTGGCCCCAGCATGCTGAGATACCCACCATTGTGGCGAGAAAGGGCATTGGTGTTATCAAGCTAGTAATCAAACTAGCAATTTATTTGTAGTAAGCTTTAGGATTTTGTAGTAATTTTTAGTATTTCTAGTAATTTATTATGTAATAATACATCCCTAATTACAACCACAACCTGTGGCCGGTCCTCATTCCACCAAGGATCCGTAGAGAACCTGCCAGTGCTCTGTAGTGTTGGGAGACAGAGCTGGGTGTAGTCAGCAGGAGCCTTGTGTTAGAATAATGAATGGTTCCCTTGAGAAATGGGCCCCACTGTGAAAGGGTTTTCTTGGAAATGGAAGGCAAGGTGCAAAGCAGCAATGGCTAAGCTCAATACACCACAATCCAAATCCCTCAAGGAATGAATTTAATAAATGGAAAGATGCATGTACAGTAAGGAAAGCGAAAAGGAAGGAAGGAGAGTTAGCTGGCTGTTAGCTGCAATGTGGAAAATTGAGAAGGAGTGGGCTGGAAGGCGATCAGGCCCAGTCAGCATGAGTTTATGAAAGGCAGGTCCTGCTTGACGAACCTGATCTCCTTCTATGACACTCTGTGACGCTCTGGGTGGATGAGGGAAAGGCTGTGGATGTGGTCTACCTTGACTTCAGCAAGGCTTTTGACACCGTTTCCCACAGCATTCTCCTCAAGAAACTGGCTGCTCATGGCTTGGACTGGCGCATGCTTCATTGGGTTAGAAACTGGCTGAATAGTCAGGCCCAAAGAGTTGTCCCTGATTTATGGAGCTGTACTGGGACTGTCTGGGATAGAATTAACATTCCCCACAGTGCTGTGCTCTGCACTTAGAGCTAGAACTCCACTGCCATCGCAACAATGTTTGGGCAATTATGGACCAGCGCTGGCACAACATCAAGATTCTTTCTCCAACACCTCCAAAGCCAGGAAGTGGAGGGTTGGCAAAAGGAGGGAGGGGACATCACCATGGCAGCTGACCCATATCATCCAAAGGGATATTCCATTCCATGTGATGTCACACTCAGCAATAAAAGGCGGCAAAGGGGAAGGAAAGCGGGGAGCTCTCATTATGAAGACATCTGTCCTCCCAAACAATCGCTACGAGTATTGAGGCCCTGCTTGCCAGGAGATGGCCAAACATCACTTTTTGAGGGGAAGTAGAGAATAATTTTCTTTTCTCTCTGTGCTTCTGTGCAGCCCTTGCTTATTTCTCTCTCTTACTTTTCCCTTATATTAATTTTTTTTCTTCTCACCCTCTTCTGATGAGGGGGAGTAAGAGAGTGGTTGTGGTGGAGCTCACCAAGGAACATAAGACAGACCACTTGTCAGGGCAAGGCACATGCTGCAGATCCTGCTCCTGCTGAGATTCACTGGCATTGTTATCTTTGGAGATTTTCTGGGATTTTGTGTAATTCTTCTTTGAAATGGAGAGCTCTATTCATCGAACAACAACACGTTGCTTCACTCCTACAGACTTGCCACATGCACACTACCACGTGCCAAAGGATGTGGACAGCACAGCTCTGTACAGCACAGCAGAGCTCTGTGCCTACTCAGGTGAGCTGCCATGCAGATCCCAAACTTCTCCATGAACAATCTCCTTCTGTTTCGGGACACCACAGGCAGTGAAGAGGATTCACTGCTTCATGCGGTAAATATTTTTGGAGAGAGGGAGAACGTTCACACTGCCTGGGGGCTATGAAAGGAGCAGTTGGGGGCTGCAGGGCTTGGAGTGTCATTCCTTTGGATGTCTGAGAAGTACACATCTGAGGCATTGACAAGGCAACTAGCCAGGCGCAGCCAAGCCAGACAAGGTGTTAGGGGTGGTGATAGAGGGGGCCCAAGCATCAGGGAAGCAGAAACTGCTGGGGACGTGGCCCTGGGTGGGTGCCCCCTGTGGCCCATCATTGTGAGTGCATGTGACCCACTGAACCCACATCCTTTTCCCTGCTGACTCCTCACCCCTTGCCCAATGGAACAGGTTGTCCTTGTCCCCTCTAGGCTCGTGCCATCCAACACCCCAGTGGAGCCCAGTTCCTCTTGCAAATGCTAGGTTATCCCACCAGAACAGGACACAGCCAGAAACCCTGGCTGCTGCGTAGCATGATTCCTCCCTTCTTTCTGGGGATGTGAAAGGCATCTACTCCTCACACAGGAAACAGGAACATTTCTATGGAGCAGAGGACCCCAAGGTAGAAAGAACAAGCTCAGTGGGGAAGACTGTCCTGACATCAGCCATGGCCAAACAGTGCCTGTGCAGAAGAGAGAAGAGAAGGCAGATGTAGCTGGGGAAGTGAGGACCCCACTGGGAGAGGAGACAAGAGCAGCCCCTGCACATGATGCGGCTCCCAGAGTTCCCAGGATCCCTGACTGTGACAATCCTCAGAGGTTGCTCCTGCTGGAGGAGGGAGAAACCCCAGGGAGCATTTGGGGCACAGTCAGAACAGAATATATCTTGTCACTGAATCTGCCCTTGTTCCCCCAGCAGAGTCATTTCCGGCAGCTCTGTTCTCTTGGGGCTGGGAGGTGCTTTTCTGACTCTCTCTCCCACAGCAAACAAGAGGGTCGGTCTCAGCATGCACCGTGGGTATCTCATCCTCACTGCCTTCCTGGGGCACCTGCTGGGTAAGTGCTGGCTTTTAATCAAGACATAAATCTTCTTTTCCCAGGAAGCCCTCGTCAGCCTTACCACATTTATGTGAAAAAGAGATTATGAATCACAGGGAAAATGTTGGTAAATGTTGTCTCCTGTTTCTGGTTCTTGGACTGGTTATCTCACATTGCTGTTATTCTTCGAAATTTGGAATGAGGAGATGGAGAAGAGACCTCTCCTGCTTCTCTCGTCCTTTCAGTCCATCCCTTTTCTGCGTCTCTCTTCTGGTCCACCTACTGTAACCAGAGAAGATTTCATCAGTCTCTGCCGTCCCTCATTTCTCCCTTTCCTATAGAAACAGCCAGATTGTGTCCAAGTGGATACAGGGACATGAAAGCTCTCCTCCCATGGACATTACCAGGGTGTCCAGTCTGTCTTCTGCCTGATGTGTGAGGCAGGAGGAGCAGGCACACAGCACAGCTCTCCTCAGGGTCCGCTCTGGCCAGGGAGCTCTGAGCTCTGCCCCCACACCACCTTGCTGTGCCCCAGCCCTGGGGACCTTTCAGCCCAGTAAAGGACAGGGGGCCTTATCTCCCACAGGTCTGAATTCACTCCTGTTTGGCTGTCTGGAGATTTCCCCACAGAACTGCTGAACTTCTCTTTCTTCCAGAAACCACGGGGCAGGTGTCCGTCATCCAGCAAGAAGGACAAGTCTCCGTGGAGCATGGAAACACCTTCCAGACCAATTGCACATATGAAACCTCCAACTTTAATGGCTTGCTCTGGTACCAGCAGAAGAAGGGACAAGCCCCTCAACGGATTTCCTATCAAGCAGGAGCAGGCACCAAGCAGAGTGACCGTCTCACCACGGAGCTGAACACTGAGAGGAAATCCAGTGTTCTGCGGCTGAAGGAAGTCGAGCTTTCTGACAGCGCCTTGTACTTCTGTGCTGTGAGTGACACCCTGGTGCAGGAAGGTGCCCTGGCTGTGCAACAACTCTGGATATGGAGGGGACTTGTTCTCCAGAAGGATTCTGTCATTTCCAAGACAATTGTGAATCTCCAAATTGTGAATATGCTCCTCCATCTCAGACTTCAGTGTTAGCCAGGAGATAATTCTGGCTCAGAAGCACCTATTGATTATTGCTCTAACCCAAGCAATGGATGTGTTATGCGTAGAAAGTCTCGGTCCCAGCGTGAGAGCTGGGCCGGGGCTAATACCTGATAGGCCAGACTCCAGAGAGGCCTGGATGAAGGCTCCATCCAGTGATGGCCCTGCACCACCTAAGAGGCTGGCTAGGCCAGGCTGACAAGATTTGGCCAGCCCAGGCACAGGCACACAGGCAGCAGAGCTGGGGCAATGCCATGCTAGGCCTGAGCATGAGCAGAGTCTTTGGACTAGGGGCCAAGAGTCCTTGTGAAAGTAAAATACCCCCACACCACAGGGCCCCGAGGTGTGCTACTGTGGGAAGGCCCTCACCTGGGTGTGGAGAGCAGTGGGGCTACATGGAGCACAATGGCCACTTCATCCTCATGGCTCTGGGAATGCCAGAGGAGCTTGGTGCCTGGGAGAAGATCCCCCAGCGTGTGCCCTGTGGTTGGGCTGGTGCATGCCTTGTGACATTCAGGGCCCATACACAGATCTTGCTGAGTGCACAATCAGGTCCCATTCTCACTGCTATGTCTCAGCAGAGACTCTGGGATCCCTGCCCCCACAGAATGTCTTTTCTGGAGCATGGTGCAATTGTGCAACCTATGGGGTCTCTGAGTTCCAGGGCCTGATGAAAGCTGATCCATGCTTGGGGAAAAGAAAGCAAGACTGAGCAGCCGTGAGTGTTTGGGCATTGGTCCCTGCCCTGGGCCTGCCTTCATGAAAAAGGAATTGAGTTCACAGGGCCTGGGGACTCCAGTGTGTGGCCTGATGGGACTGGTACCAGTACGAACCTGTGGATCCCCTCAGCCCTATGCATCTTGGCAACAGCTGGGTCATGCCAGACGCTGTGCTGTAGTGTGATGGGGATGCACAGGGAAGCTGTTCCTGCTCTTCATGCCCAGACATGATGCCCATGATTAGGTGGTGGAGGAAATGTGAAAGTCGATGAGGGACAGAGGGCCATCACCAAGACAATTACCCATTCCCAGTTTCTGCAGTCCTTTGGGATCATATTGGTCTCAGCCTCCACCCCCAGCACAGCTCCACCCAAAGCAAGACGAACACTCTTCCCCAAGAGCCGGGGCCTACAATATCAACAGCGATTGTCTAGGCGGAGATGCCACAAGTCACGGACTGGTGGCTATTGGCTGTGGTGGAACTAGGGATGTCTTCCTCACCTTCAAGAGACACTGCCTGAAAGAGGAATTGCTGCAGTATGCCCCACCCTCCAGTGCCTAGAGGAATGAGGCAGTGCCCCCAGCCTATGCCCACTAAGGAATGGTTTTCTCCCTTGGCCATCAGTATCCAGATGAAAAGACCACACAGGGACACACTCAGGGTTGCTGCAAATGTTTATCAAGGCTCAGGAGGGAAAGGAGGTGACTCCAAGAGGAGGCCCCAAGATCGTAGTAAGCAGGAGCAGACAAAAATCTGTTCAGCTTTTCCAATGGCAGACTTGCAACAGGGCATCAATCTACCTGGCCCACATGGGGAGAGGGTCTACCAGGTCTCTCCAGACTGGTTTCTGAGGGCCTCACACAAAGGAGAGGGCAAGAAAGCAAAGAAAGAGAAAGAGCGTGTAGAAAACAGGATAGGAAGACATTGGTCATGTTATCATAGACTCCGGGCTGGCCCCTTCCTATCTGTCTTTACAGGAAAGCCAGAGATGGTCAGGTCCTCTCAGAACAACAACATGAGGTCTCTTCTTCCATCCATTTTGGCCAGCAGCATGTTGTGAGTTCCTGGGGTCCTGGTCTGGGGCACTGTCTGGCATCTTTAGCAGGGGCGGCACCTGCTGCCACAGTAGCGGCTGGTAATGCAGGAGAGGTCACAGCACCCAGAATTGATGGGGACGCCGTCACAGCTGAGGATGCTGCCAACGGCAGCAGAGGTGGAGGATCCCACAGCCGTGTTCTGCGGGAAGGAGCTGAGGATGGGGCCGGGCAGGGTCACCACCACGGGAGAGGGCTGGATGACGATGGTGGAGTTCTGGCACTGCCTGACGCAGGGCTCGTTGCAGCTGCTGGCCAGCGGGGTCGGGCCGCAGGGCTGGCATGGCCGGCACTGGTCGTAGCAGGACATGTCTGGGGGCAGGAGGTTCACCTGGGAGAGAGGGCAGATAGGAAGTTTAACATGGGCATGCATGAGGAGCAGCCTGCTACCAGACCCTAACAGATCCAAGGCACAGGCAGTACTGTGAGCTGGAGGCTGTGCAGGGATGTGCGAGGCATTCTTGGCTGCATCCTGACAGGGCCCAAAAAGAGCCACCACAGCCAGGATACACCCTAGGCTTCAGCATAAGAGCCATCACACCAAAGGCCCAATCTTCCTCCATGACAAACCTTCTACCCCTTGACTCTCCCACAACCAGCAGTCCCAAGATTTGGCAGGGCACACAGCTGATAGCAGCTGAAAGGTCCAAGGAACTGTGTCCTCCTGTGGAAGAATGAGGGGGACAAGAAGGGGCTTCACACTCACCTGGTTCCCAACAAGAAGAAGGCCAGAGAAGTGGATGAGAGAGCACGGAGCTGGGCTGGCTTTTATAGTGGGCCTTAGCTGCCCCATGTCCAGAGGCATCCCTTGAAGCAGGGACTATTTTCTGACAAGCTACTCATGCATGAAAAACATCCCACCTAATGATACGGGATGTGTGTTGCCTTCCTGTGATGCTGCTTTTCATTTCCTGCTTTATGCCCTTTCCCCAAAGAAGGCAACTCCTGAGTGGCAGGTAGGGAGGCCCAAGTATTTCCAGGCAACACATGTCAGTGTGGGCAGAAGACTCAGCTCACGTGCTGGAAGAGTCCAGTAAAAGCGTATGTTGTCATTCTGGGTGACTCCCTAGGGACTCTCTGGGGCCCCTTTGGCTACAGGTGACTCAGCTCCTGTCTGTGACCCTAACCATCCTGACACTGCCCTCAGGGAAAACCTGCTGGCCTGTTTTGCCTCCTCCTGCTCTGACCCAGGGGTGTCTGTACAGGGGGAGAGGTTGTGCAGGGCCCTTTCTGGATCACAAAAGAAAGGCCCATCGGGTCAGTGGCTGTTTTAGTTAGAAGGAATAACAAGATGAATGTACACAGAAAGGAAACCTTCCATGTGCAGGTGATCCTGCCTTCTACCAGCATCGGACAGAGCCGGGTGGGTTTTCCCAAGACACACAGTGCAGATCCTGTCCATAGGGAATTCCTTCTTCACTCCCATAACTTGATGCCTTTCGTTTTTTGCTTTAAAAAATGAATAAAATCATACACCATCTCCTTACATGACGCAAGCTTATTTCTGTCATAACACCCACCAGTGATCAGTCGGGGCACTCCAGCACTTTCCTTACCACTGCTACTCAGGCTAACAAATGGAATTCTCAGGCCTGAAGTTCAAGGCCCAAGAAAGCTGACATTGTTTTGTCAAAAGACCTGGCTCCCGTGCCTTCTGGAAGGCTCACAGTCCGCCTCCCCTCTCTATCTCTTCAAAACATGTGCTTTGCTCAAATTCTGTCTTTGCTGTACACTGTGTCACATTCATGCACATGTTCGTCCCTTGTGGGCACTGGCCTGTATTAGGGCTATGTGGGACAGACTCAGCATTCCCCACAGCAGCCCCTAGAGTGCTGTGCTCTGCACTTGGAGCTAGAACAGCATTGCCATCACACCAACATTGGGGCTATAGTGGAGCAGTGCTGACACGGCATCAAGACTCTCTCCAAGCCCCACAAAGCCAGCAGGTATGCACGTGAGCACGAGGTTGGGAGGGGACATCACCAGGGCACCTGACCTAAACCAACCAAAGGGATATTCCGTACTGGATGATGTCACACTCAGCAGGAAAGATGTGAAAGGGGAAGGAAAAACAGGGGTGGGCATACTGAGTCAGTGCTTCCAAAGACTTCGACGAACATCACTTGCTGATGGGAAGTGGAGTATAATTTTCTCTCAGTTTGTTTCCAAACAACCTTCGCTCTTTAGTTTTATAATTATTCTTCCTTTTTCATTTAATTATATTATCCCTGTCTACACTTGTAAGCCCTTTAGCTTAAATCACATTCTCTCCCCACATCTTGCTTTCAGCAGAGTGTGTGAGAGATCTGTGTGGTGGATGTTTAGTTGGCAAGAAGAGAGGAAGAAGGAACCTGAGAACAGCTGAACAATCACAGAACAAAAACAGCCCAGAAGTGCCCACAGCACATATGCTGAAATGCAGCTTTCTGTATCTGAAGCCCTCTTTCTCCTGACCCTAAGAAGTTCATTGCCAATGTCAGTCCCCAACAAGGATGGGCCCACAACAGTTTGGATCCTTTCTTTAATTCTGTACCACAGGATTCAGAGTGTAAGAGCATGGTGGCAGTCACCCCTCCCTGCCTCTCCAGGCCAGGACACAGCTGCACTCCCCATGGCTAGAGAGTTCAAAAGGATGGCATTAGCTTTATGCACAAGGAGAAAGGCTGAGAAATCCTGCCATCTTTGTGCAGGCCCAGCCCTGCGTGGATCTGCTGCTGGTGCAGTGTCAGTGGTGTGTGGGGTGGGACAGAGGTCCCCCATGGGGAAACCAATGCCACACATACATCTGTGACTCATGGGCCCGGTGCTGAGTCATGCAGGGCCTGAAAACTTGGGCAGAAGTGGTACTGAACCAGAGGAACATGGGTCCTGGTGTTGCTGTGCTGTGGGAGGAGGGAACAGTGCAACACAGAAAGCCAAACAGACGTGTATTGTCTACTCCCACTTCACAGGAGGATGCAAAGGAAACAGAGCTGAACTCTGGAGATGAAGCATAGCAAGTCTGGGGCTAATGCGTGCAATTTCAGAAATGGGTAGGCTTGGTTATATGGATGAAATATACATGGAAGAAATATTTACCTTGAAGGCGATCAAGTCCTAGAGCAGATTGCCAAAGAGATGCTATTGGAGCTCCACCCTCTGAAAAGCTCAGACTTTGCCTGGACTTGATCCTAAGCAACCTGATCTGATGAGATCCGCTCTGAAAACAGGGTTGGACTACGTGCGTGCTGGAGGTGCAGCCTGTGATCCTCTGGAGGAGGATCATGCACAGTCACCACATACCAGCCTTGGAGGGATGCTGTTGACAGATCACTGTTTCTGTTAATTCCAAGGGTGACCCATGATCACGTACCGATATCATTCATGACATCAAAAGCGGGTGGAGGGAACAGCACTCATGCACACTGCTGCTCATGTCAAAAGATGCATGATTTCATGGGTGCACTCACAGACACTCCTGGATGCATACTGAAGTATATTTGGACACACACATAGATAGTTGTGCACACAGTGAAGAAAACAAATACTGCTCTCCTGAACTCCAGAGTTCGGATTTTACTTTCAACTGTCTGTCAAGGAACATCCTGGATTGCTGAGGCCCTGCTGTGTTTTACCTACAGAAGATATTGAGTGGTGGAAGGCAATGAATCCTGAGCAGCAACTCTATCTCCTTCCCACAGGAGTGAGGGGAAAGCCTAGAGAGAGGTTTCTTTTGTTGCTGCTGGGTTTGTCTGAGAGCTGAGAGCTGCTGCTCTTCATTCTGGAATTCTCAGCCATCTACCTCTTGATCCAGGCTGGGAATACACTCGTGTGGGGTGCCCAAATAGCCCATGCATCCTTCTGTGTAATTTGTCTTTGGAAACCTCTCATTCATTGACATGTGCCATGTCTTGGTCAGGACGCCTCTTTATGGACAATTTACTTTTCCAGCGGTGTGGTCTGGCTCCTCTTCCTCCACTAGCGGGCCTAAACTGGGATATCCTCTTCACACTCATGGCCTATGACCAAGCTGCGTGCATCTGCCACCCACTGCAGAACTCCAGTCTGGTGGGAGGCCTGTGGGCTGAGCTCCTGCTCCCCTCCTTGGCACAAGCGGCGCTCACCCTTCGTTTGCCCTGCTCTGGCTCTACACAATCGCAGCTCCTTCTGGGACTTGCTGTCAGTCATGCAGCTGCCTTCTGCAGAGAGCTTCTGGACTGCTGTGCTCCTTAAATACAACAGCACCACCAGTTTTCCTGTGCTCCTTGAGCTCCTGCAGGGTGCTCCTGGTCTCCCTCTGAATGTAGACGTGTGAGGAGACACAAGACACTGTCTGCTCACTCTCACTTCCCTGCACTTGTATCATGCCGGGGGCTACGTTCCCTCCTCTATACCCACCCCATTGCAAACTTCTCCCACAACAAAGTGGTGTCCATCTTCTCCAGGGCTGTGATTCCCTCTGCTCCATGCACCAACCTACAGCGTAAAGACCGAGAAGGTGAAGGAAGCCATGCGAAACCTGAGAAACAGAGGGAGGTTGTTTCTTTGTTTCCTCTGATGTGTTTGCTGTCTCTGCTTTCAGGGCCATGCTGTTTTCTCTACTCTCTTCTGACATGGAGGTCTTGGGGAAGCTGCCATCACTGCTTCCACAGCAGCCCTTATTTTCTTTCTTACCTTTCAGCTCCTCCCTCCTTGTTTCCTACCCTAGAAGCAGCCCTTCAGCACTTGGGAGGGGGGCCGAGAGAAAGAACTGCAGGAAGCTGGAAACAACACACAGGGATACAAACCTGACTGATAGATGATGAAGGAGGAAGAGAAGAGATCAAATGTGGGCAGTCACAACACCAGTTGGTGGCCTATCAAGAAGCCACAGGGAGATCAGCTTGGGCCTTGCACCTCCTACAGCTGTGAGCTAGGACACACGCTGGGGTGGGTGCAGGACAGACCTATACAACCCCATGAGGGGACGTGCAGGGAATTGGGAGCTGGGAGGAGTACACTAGGGCAGACAGAGCAGGGTGTAAAAGGGGCTGCAGCCTGTACTTGCGTGGCTGGGCCCTGCACGTGAGCACCGCTGTCTGTCCTGTCCTCTTCTGGAATATTTCCTTATGTCTCCATAATCTCGCTCTGTCCCATGCACACATGTGCTGCAAGGAGAACGTAGCAATTCCTCATGGAGTGGCAGAAGTGGATTTGATGCTAGCTGCTGGAGTCAGACTCAGCACAAGGACATCCCTGCCCTGTGCTGTCAGCTGCTGGAGCCAGGGGTCCCCCAAGCAGGGAAAGGGGGTCTCAGCCTCCAGGAAAATGTGGCAAGTCCATTTGGGGTCTCCAAAAGCAGCTACTGGGGGTACTGGCCTGCGTCTATCTTCCCCAAATGGGCATGCTTGTCCCTGCCTGTGTGTCTCCTGGGTACGTGCTCAGCTACTATTGCCGTGAAGCCTGTAAATGGGAAAGTGGCAACTGTGCCCCTCAATCTGGGCAGAGACGCTCGACCGACGATGACAGCTCAATGGGCAGTGCCAGACAGCAGGGCCCCGTACGGTTTGGGGTGCTGTCGGGGCACTGTGTCCCCAGACCCGTTCCTGCTGCTGGCTTTCCACACCTGCAGCAGTGCCGGCCACAGCTGTGATACCAGCGCACCACAGCACCAAGCTCCCAGGCCCAGCCCAGCCTGACCCGTTGCCCTCCACTGGGGACGCTTCAGGCAGGCAGCTGCTTTCTCCTCTCCCCCTTCTCTCCTCTCTCCCTACTAATCTCCTACCCCGTTCACTGCCCTCCTCTCCCCTTCCCACTCCCAAAGGAGATGCCGTAGCAGAAGGGCAGCTGCTGTCTCCGCTCCCTCGCCCTTTCGCTCCGGCTCCATCTCCCGCTCCAACTCTGATATAGTATAAACTCACTTTAGAATAAAACTTGTGGTTAAAAGTTAGCAAGGACAAAGTAAACGACATCTTGTTATCTGTAGACCTTTTGTTATGTTTAAGCATCTTGTTATTTGAAAACATCCCAGTATCTGTTAACCGTTAGTCAGGCTGAGACTTGAGATAACTTGAGTCAATTGTCTTGTCTTGTTAACTGAGACTTCCTGTTATCTGCCAACCCTCAGTTAAATTGAAAGCCAACTCAGCATTTTTACAGCTTGGAAAACAACTGATTAAGCAAAGGTGAAAAGTGCATTACAAGGAAGACCTACGGCCTTCCTCCCAACGACCACTGCCCACATCCTGAAGACCCCGGCCCACAATTCTTGGAAGGCTTTGCGCAAGCGCAAGGACTGATAAGCTAATTAGCATACGAAGCGAGGGTAGGCGGGGTTAGGTAATGAATATGTATAGGCGCTAATTGAATATTCATTGTTTCGCTGTATAAATATGAGATATTTTGTCACTTCGAACATGCACGATAGGCGGAAGGATCCCCCGTGCATCCAGCGCTGCAATAAAGAATATACCACTTAAGGAAATTTCGGCTTTGATCTTTAAATCAATTTGGCGACCCAGATGGGACAACCTCTCTGCCGGTCCGCAGGACCCGCTGGGGACAGGACTCCCTAGGGTACCCCCGGGATTTCCCGGAGGGACTCCTCGACTCACCGGATCACTGCGGAGGCAGACAAGGACCCCATCATTGTAAGTGAGTATATTCTTTATTCTGGTTTGGTTTTCTGGTAGACCGGTCATCTGGGACTGTCCAGTAAGTCGGAAGGTGATCTTCTGCAGGACAGTATTTGGTATATACTTTGTGGTTAGTACCACAAGTATATCTGGGGACCTTGAGGTCCATCTGTATCTGGAACTGTCTGTTAAGTCGGGAGGTGATCTTCTGCGAGGCAGTGTTTGGTATATACTTTGTGGTAAGCACCATAAGTATATTTGGGGACCTTAAGGAAAGAGCTCGCTTTAAGGTCCATCTGGAATTGTGTTGCCTATTTTGGTTTTCTGACTCATGGAGTATGGTATTTAACTCTGGTTATTGTTACTGCGATTTTGGCTATTTCTTGGTGATAATAATAAGTTTCGTGACGTTGTTATAAGGAAGATATCGTTACAGTGTTACATATTTTGGTTTTCTGACCTATCGCTTGTGGAATTTGACTCTGATTATTGTTATTGTGATTTTGGCAATATCTCCTGGTAATAATAGTAGTTTTGTGACATCGCTATTGAAAGATACCTGTGTGCCCACAGTTTTGTAAGTGATACATGTATTCTGAAAGTGTGAACTGGAAAATGGGGGGACGAGTAAGCAGTGAAATTCCTAAGAAAAGTACGTTGAGCTGTATTTTGAGTTATTGGAAGGATATAGGGGGGGCTCCGGGTGGAAGTGAAAATAAGAAAACTCTGACAAAATATTGTAATCAATGGTGGCTGCTTTATAAGCTGGAATGTTGAAAAAAGTGGCCTTTTAATGGAGCTTTAAACTATAATACTTTGCTACAGTCAATGTTGTTTTTGAGAAGGAAAATAGGATGGAATGTTGTATACTGATGTTGTTTCAGCATCTTGGAGGGAAAAGGTACGGAATTAAGTTGGTCCCTGACTGTGCTTTTGATGCTGGCATTAGAAAAGTACAGGCTGGAGAAAGATAAAGGAAGTGTTAAAAGGGTTATTGCAAGTGTTAAAGGTGTTTGAAGTTGAATGAGCAGGGAAAGAGGATGTAGGAATGTTAACAGTTCTGCCTCGGCCTGGGGCTGAGACCTTAAAATCTTGGGTGTTAGCCCTCTGGGGCAAAGGGATCATGATGAGTCCCAGAGAGTTGTCACAGAAACAGAAAAGCAGTTAACTCTGAAAACAACCTGAGTTCATGTGTGAGCTCAGATTGCCGATGGGATCGCTCAGGGAACTGTGGACAATTGCATTTTCCTGACCGACCCCCACTAAGACCCTCATCATCCTGAAAATTATGAACGGTTAAGTAAATACTAGAATCTGGACGATTTGGGAATTGAGAATATGCTTCCAACAAGGTCTAAAAGAAACCCCTGTGGAATTTTTGGACCAACTCTGAAATGTAATGAAAATAAATAAATAAATAAAACAAAACGGTTTGGACCTGGCTTCGGAGGACAAATTGACTAGCCTATTTCTAGGGTAATCATTGGTCCCTGATTTCAACAGGAATAACAGGGACCTGGGGAATCTACCCTAGCGGATCCTCCACTGATTATAATGAAGTTAGGAGAGGAACAGAAGTGAAATTTCTTATTGATACGGGGCAACGTATTCAGTTCTAAATCAAGCATTAATGCCTTTACGGAATGATTATGTTAAGGTAAAAGGGTGTAACCAAAAAGGCTTATTTTTGTGAACCTTTGAAATACAAGTTGGGGAAATGTTATATCTGGAGTGGTAATTCGTGTCGAGAAAATGGTTGATATTAACAAAGAAGGGTGATTCAGGAGACTCCATGCAGTCTGGGGTTTCTTGTTCTCCAGCCATTAAGGCATGGATGTTTCTGGGTGTTTGCTGTTGTTGTTACATTCAAAGTTGTTTGACTAATTAAACAGTTGTTTTGAAAAGAACTGCTGTGGAGAGAAGGGTATTAGAGGGGAGCCTGCTTCTAAAAAAAAAAAAAAAAAAAAAAAAAAAAAAGGCAACACTATGAAGTTACATCAGTACAGAAGCAGGAAAAAGAAGTGAAGAGGAACAGGCTGGCAGAATGGGGACTGTTAAGTTATGGAACTCAAAGGATTGTTTGTTACCTATCCTGATTGTATGTATGTATAGGCATACTCAGGTTATTATGTAAAGCAATGTTCTGTATACATGTATTTAGAACGTTTGATGTTTGTGTGTGCGTGTTGGTGGAGCGTAGACTCCCTGCACACCCAGCGCTGTTTACTTGCCTTTTATATACCTTTTAGAAATATTTGTTTTATAAATATTACAAAATTCAGACCTCATTTATAACAGGAAACAAATGGGGATACATAGGTTTTTATATCTACCTGGATCTCCAAAATCTCTATTAGGTTGAGATCTGTTAGAACAATTAGAAGCAGAAATTATCTTCGAAAAAAGGAAAATGGAATTAAGGATAGGAGAAGAACAACTAATAAATGTGTTAAGCCTGGCACTAATACAAACCGACCCTAAAAAGTGAAATACCCTTAGAGATCATAAATCAAATATATCCAGGAGTTTGGGCCACTGAAGTCTCTGGAAGAGCTAAAAATGTGACCCCAATAATTATTAAATTAAAGCCAGGAGAGAAACCCATTAAGGTTAAGCAATATCCTTTGAGGATAGAAGATAGGAAAGGAATTAAAGAGATAATTGATAGATTTATACAGTATGGATTATTGATTGAATGTGAATCAGAATACAATACACCCATATTGCCAATTAAAAAGGCAGATGGAAAAAGATATAGGCTAGTTCAGGATCTGAGGGCCATAAATAAGATCACTGTGGATATACATCCAGTAGTGGCAAACCCTTATACTTTGCTGACTAAATTAAGGAATAGTCAAGTCTGATTTACCGTACTGGACTTAAAAGATGCCTTCTTCTGCCTACCTTTAGCCACTGAAAGCCAAAACCTATTTGCCTTTGAATGGGAAAACCCTGACTCAGGCAGAAAGACACAGTTAACGTGGACAGTGCTACCACAAGGATTCAAGAATAGCCCCACTATTTTTGGAAACCAATTAGCAAAGGAACTTGAAACTTGGACACCTCCGGACACTGAAGGGGCTTTGTTACAATACGTAGATGATCTCTTAATAGCTACCGAGACTAAAGAGAGTTGTATTCAATGGACTATAAGTCTCCTTAATTTTCTGGGTTTAAATGTATATCGAGTCTCTCAACAGAAAGTCCAGCTGGTTCAACAACACGTGACCTACTTGGGATTTGGAATTTCGGGAGGTCAGCGAGAACTAGGAACTGAACGTAAGGAAGTCATTTGCCAGACTCCAGAACCTCAAACGGTAAAGGAGCTACGAACCTTTCTAGGAATGACAGGTTGGTGTCGCCTTTGGATTTATAATTATGGACTAATGGTAAAGCCTCTATATGAATTGATAAAGAGTAATCAGTCAAAGTTAGTCTGGACTGGAGAAGCACGAAACGCCTTCAAACAACTTAAACGAGAATTGCTGCAAGCTCCAGCTTTGGGATTACCGGATCTTTCGAAACCCTTCTGGTTGTTTTCTCATGAGAGACAAGGGATAGCTTTGGGAGTACTAGCACAAAGATTGGGTCCCTATAAACGAGCAGTAGCTTACTTCTCTAAACAATTAGATGAAGTAAGTAAAGGATGGCCCGGATGCCTTCGAACTGTTGCAGCTGTTGTTATCAATATACAAGAAGCTCGGAAGTTTACAATGGGACAGAAAATGATAGTGTTAGTCTCCCATATGGTCTCAACAGTTTTGGAACAAAAAGGAAACCACTGGCTTTCGCCACAGAGATTTGAAAATATCAAGCAATATTAGTAGAACAAGATGATGTGGCATAACTGTATAGAAACAATGGAGACTGTGTATTCTAGTCGACCCGATCTTAAGGAGGAACCTTTAGAAGATGCTGATGAATCTTGGTATACTGATGGGAGCAGCTTTGTAAAACAAGGACAACGTAAGGCAGGATATGCTGTTACAACTACTCAACAGGTAATCGAGTCCAAACCATTACTCCCTGGGACGTCCACCCAGAAACCACAGGTAATTGCACTTACGTGAGCACTGGAACTGGCAGCAGGAAGGAAAATAAATATTTGGACAGATTCTAAATATGCATTCGGCATGATACATGCTCATGGAGCGATTTGGAAAGAACGTGGATTGCTAACTGCTCAGGGAAAACAAAAAAATATGCTGAAGAAATTTCAAAATTGTTAGAGGCTGTAAAACAATCAGAAAAGGTAGCTATCATGCATTGTCAAGGACTCCAAAAGGGAAACGCTGATTTTGAAATTGGAAATCGATTGGCAGATCAGGAGGCTAAACAGGCAGCTGAAATAACTGAGGTGAAGGCATTGTCTTTAATACCAGACGGTAAAATCCAAACTATATACATGAACCAAAAAGCCAAATTATACAAAAGAAGACTTAAAATTAATTGAAGATTTGAAAGGTAAAATGAAACCAGATAGATGAGTATATTTAAAAGATAACTGTGTAATAATACCCTCTAATTTGATATGGCCCATAGTTTTTACAGAACACAATAAAACACATCGGGAAGCTGACACATTGCATAAGAGCATGAGTCAGACATTAGTGGGATGACACAACAATAAAACAAGTAACTTAACAATGTAGCATCTGTTTACGTAATAACCCCAATACCAGGAATAGAATAAAATTTGGAATAATTGGTAAAGGAAATTATCTGGGACAACAGTGGTAAATTGATTTTTTCAGAACTCCCTAGAAAAGGGGGGTTTCGTTATTTACTGGTTTTGACTGACACATTTTCTGGTTGGCCCGAAGCTTTTCCCTGTCGAACAAACAAAGCAAGAGAAGTGGTTAAAGTCTTGTTAAATGAAATAATACCACGCTACGGGATTCCAGTAGCAATGTCTTCTGATAGAGGTTCACATTTTTGTGCACAAGTGGTACAACAGATAAGTAAGATCTTAAAGATAGATTGGCAACTACATACCCCTTATAGACCACAGGCAAGTGGACAGGTAGAAAAAATGAACCATTTAATTAAACAACAAATAGCTAAAATCGGACAAGAGGCTAATTTGTCATGGCCTCAATCCCTCCCTTTAGCATTACTCAGAATTAGAGTTAAACCTAGAGTAAAAGAGAATTTGAGCCCCTTTGAAATTTTATATGGAAGGCCATATCAATTTCTATTTAGTGGGGAGGATCTAACGCAGCTGGGATCAGAATATTTATATACTTATATAACTGAACTTCAAAAACAATTAAATAAAGTACATAAATTTGTGTTAGGGACCAGAGCTAGAGGGTTGGATCAACCAATCCACCCCTTTAAGCCTGGGGACTATGTATATATAAAGATTTTTTCAGGACAACCCCTAGAGGAGAAATGGAATGGACTGTATCAAGTGTTGCTGACAACTCACACTGCTATCAAGATTAGAGAACAAACCGCTTGAATCCACTATTCCCGAGTGAAGAAGGCTCCAGGAGCTCCTTGAAAAGTAACACTAGGTGACAATGAACTGAAACTAAAGCTTAGTCGATCAAGATGAGGACATTATGGTCGGGAGTATTTGGTAATATAGTTGGTAGAAAATTTGTTCATAGAATTGTTTTGTTTTTATGGCTTATAGTTGTAATTGTGATTCAAGAAGGTGCCTCTGTGATAATAGAGAATGGTGGGTGGCCTTGAACTAAAGCCGTAACAACAGAGGATAAGAACTTTAATGGAAAGTTATCAGTTATGGTCATCTGGCGAACAAATGGTAACTATTTATAAAAACCATCAGAATGGTGAAAATTAGGAGAAGAGTGGACACAAGATAATGTATCCTGAGCTCTTAGTTGTATGCAAGCACAGTTATGGTTGCAGGCAACGGCTGCCTTGATCATTAGGGAAGGAAGTAAAGGCATTTTTCCGGCTGAAGTCCAAAAGGCAGTCTGGGACAATGCCAATGATTTCGAGAAGTTCCAGTCCTCGTGGACCCTGGTAAATTGTACTTATGCCCATTATTAACATGGCTACTGCCTTCGTGCTTACTATACGGATGGAGAATGGGAAACGGCAGTCTGTAAATCTAGAATCATGTGTTACCGGGGAACAACGAGGATTTATTTGTGAAAGCAATACAATTGAGGCTCAGGATGTATGTTTTGACACGGAGCAAGGTATCTGCCACTTTGAAATTCATCCAAATACCAGTCAAAAGACTGTGCTTGTATATGTTGGTAAAGGGTGTGTGTGTTTAAGAACTGCTTGTGATTTTGTAGAAATAGACAAGGAGAATATAACTCTCCATAGCAAAAATCATTCTAATTTTTGTATTTGTAACTTTGTTAGAATCATCGGGTGTGATTTTCTATATTTAGCACCAGTGGTATCCCACCAGCTGATCAAGTCTAACAACACAATGTATCATAAGTTACTACCTACACCTATTGGGATGAACCTCACACTAGTGAAGCAACTAGTTAAACACCAAGACCTGATTAGAATTTTAAAAGGTATTCAGGAAAATGGAGAGAAGACTCTAATTACTGTCCATCATGATACAAAGGAAATAAGCAGAGTTTTGCAGAGAGTGAAACGAGACACAAGTCACAACTGGTGGGATACACTTTTTGGATGGTCGCCAACTGCAACTGGGATTTTGAACACACTGAGTCACCCAATTATTGTTTTATTGATATTGGTTGGTATAAGTTTAATATTGTCTTTTGTATTACTTGTTTGGAATTGGAAATTGTTACAACGAATGTCCATGTTAGCCTCCTTGACAAATGTGCATGGTAAAGTATTGAGGGGTACATATCATAAAGACTGGGAAGAAAATTTCCGTATTAAGTAAAAGAATTTACTAGATTTTCCAGAAAAGGGGGGAATGATATAGTATAAACTCACTTTAGAATAAAACTTGTGGTTAAAAGTTAGCAAGGACAAAGTAAACGACATCTTGTTATCTGTAGACCTTTTGTTATGTTTAAGCATCTTGTTATTTGAAAACATCCCAGTATCTGTTAACCGTTAGTCAGGCTGAGACTTGAGATAACTTGAGTCAATTGTCTTGTCTTGTTAACTGAGACTTCCTGTTATCTGCCAACCCTCAGTTAAATTGAAAGCCAACTCAGCATTTTTACAGCTTGGAAAACAACTGATTAAGCAAAGGTGAAAAGTGCATTACAAGGAAGACCTACGGCCTTCCTCCCAACGACCACTGCCCACATCCTGAAGACCCCGGCCCACAATTCTTGGAAGGCTTTGCGCAAGCGCAAGGACTGATAAGCTAATTAGCATACGAAGCGAGGGTAGGCGGGGTTAGGTAATGAATATGTATAGGCGCTAATTGAATATTCATTGTTTCGCTGTATAAATATGAGATATTTTGTCACTTCGAACATGCACGATAGGCGGAAGGATCCCCCGTGCATCCAGCGCTGCAATAAAGAATATACCACTTAAGGAAATTTCGGCTTTGATCTTTAAATCAACTCCCACTCCCTCTCCTATCCCGGGCTGGGCTGCAGGACGGGCAGAGCCCCGCGGGCAGCAGCCGAAGCCCTGCCCGCCCACAGGCGCCCAGCACTCGCAGCCCGGGCCAGCCCCCGAGCGGCCCCGGGGCGGAGCTGGCGGCGCCGGGCGGCGGCGGCGGGGAGGAGGCGCCGCGGGCGGAGCAGAGCCGGGGCTGGCGGGGGCAGCGCGGCGCGGGCGGCGGAGCGGCGGGATGCGGCAGGGCCGGGCCGCAGGGCTGGCGGCGCTGGCCGCGGTGCTCCTGGGTGCGCGGGGCTGCCGGCGCCGGGGACGGGACGGGACGGGACGGGACGGGACGGGACGGGACGGGGCTGCCCTCGCTTCTGGCCCGCCGGCTTCTTACGGACCTCGCTCCCCTCTGGCCTCCCTCTGCAGCCATCCCGCCTGCCTCCAGCGAGCTCAGCCGGCCGTTGCCTCCCACCTTGCCTTGCTCCCTGCCTTCCTCCTCTCCTTTCGGCACACCCCCACTCATTGCTGCCTGCTTCCCTTCTCCTCCTGGCTCGGACTCTCCTCCCAAACAGCCCTGCTCCGACCTGGTCCCTAAATAACCCTTCCCAGAGAAATGTCCTTTGTGTGCTTTCTTCTGAGAAAAAGCTTGCATCGGCTATCAACCGTTTTCTTCTGCCCTTTCCCCTTTCCTGACATTTTTGGTAGAAGCAAAGCCATTTTCTGAGTTTTCTCCTGCTTTTCTTCTTGGCAGTGGCTGTGTGCAGAGCCCAGGTGCAGCAGGAGCCACGGGCACAGACCACCGAGGGCACCGGCATCAACATCGCCTGCTCACACCCCAACATCCAGTCATATGATATCATTTATTGGTACCGTCATCTCCCGGGCCGAGAACCCGCATTCCTCGTGTCGGCTCAGAGTGGGTCCAGAGATGTGACGGACCCGGCAGGGCGGCTCTCGGTGGCAGGAGACCGCCGGTCCAGCGCCCTGTGGCTCGCCCGTCCCCGTCTTCGGGACGCGGCGGTGTATTACTGCGCCCTGAGAGCCACGGGGAGAGGAGCCGGGGCTGCGGCCGTGCAGGAACCGTGGCGGGCGGGGCCGGGCGTGTGTGGCGGGGGCGAGGCAGGGGCACAGCCCCCAGGGGGCGCTGCCGCTCCGCCCGCCAGGACCACCTCGTCCCGCAGCCGCGGGGGTTCCCCCGCCAGCCCGGCCCCTCCAAGGCACTTCGGTTCTGCTGAAAGGGTCTGGAGCCTGGGTGCAGCTGAACGGAGATGGCAGCAGCCTGGCAGAGGTGTGTGCAGGGAAGAGGCACTGAAACACAGCCCCTTTCTCCTGAGCCCTCCTTTTCCTCACTCTGCAGCAATGTTCCTCAGTTTCTCCCAAATTCATGCCCAAACAAGGACTGAATCAGGACAGTTTGGATCCTTGGTTTAATTCAGGGTAACTGAATGTTTGGAGTGCCTCAGCGTGGCTGTCCATCGATGACCTTGGGATATATAGGAGAAGCAGACTGTTGTGAGGCTCCTAATGGTGCCTGTCAGTCAGAGATTTCCACCCGTAGACACTGCCAGGTCCTCCTGGGAGTCAGTGCTGAAGCCAGGCCTATCTCCTCAAACCTGTCTATAAAGGCTGGCCAGCATTGTCTCAGAAATGCATCGCAGAGGATATAGAATCCCATCCAACCCATGTCTGGCTGGTTCTTCTGAAGGCAAGGGGGCAGCTTCACATGTCGTATTTCAGAGCAAAGGTGTTTTCTCAGCGTATTGGGTGTCTCACCCAAGATAATCTGCCTTGTTCAAACTCAGAGGCAGATCCCAACCACACTTTTATCTGTTTGCCAATGACATGCACCCAGAACTACACACAAGGTTTATATATTGCTATCAGTGTCCTGGGGCATTCAAGGTAGGCAATAAACAGCAGAGCAATTAAGAAACCAATGTCTCCAGGAACTACCAGTCATGTTTTGGGTTGCAACATGGGCCAAGCCCTTCCAGGGCAATGGGCCATCCCAACAAAGCAGAAATGTTTGTCAGAGCTCTTTCCTGTGGTCTACCCCACACCTTAGCCCTGGCAGTGCCATACCTTCACCTGGGCTAAATTGGTTGCATTCTCTTGCAGCTGTGACTAATTCCATTCCTCTGGCACCAGGAAAGACAAAGGGTTTACCCCAGCACACCTTTGGCTCATCTCTCTTGCCTGCATGGCTGATTCCTTCTGGACATGACAAGGCTGTACCAAGCAGGGCCATACGTGCATCCGTAAGGAAAGGGCTCTGTAATCAATGGGCATCCTTGAAGTGCAACTGGGCAACAGAGAGCTGCACACATCCTGAACATAGCCTCTACATAACCAAAAGAAGAAACAGAGAAACAACTTGCCTGAGCAGGAGCAAAGCAAATGGTCAGGAAAAGTGGAAATGAGCATGAGGAAGTCCCTGTGAGTGCACGTCCTGCACCTGAGGAAAGCTGTTGCATGCTTGGGGGCAAGTGGGCACCCTAGAGCAGCGTGGGGGCATGCAAACTGCCTGCTGTCTTTGCACTGACCCACCCCATATGGGTTCAGGGTCCTCAGGGACTAGAGATTTAGGTGTATGGTCCATGACGGGGAACACCGATGCTGACTTGTGGAAGGGGATCAGCCCTGCATGTGTGCCATCACCTGGGCCCTGCCAAGTGCCGTGCTGGGGGCGGTTGGGCCTCATGGGACACTTGCTCCTGCCGCACATGCCCATGTGTGCTGGCCTTAGCCCTGAGGTAGGGCAAACGAGGGAAGATGAGGGTGGAGTAGAAGCAGTCGGGCATCCCTGCACTTATTCCACCCATTCCCCACATCTGCCATCCATCTTCTGTCCCCATCTGCTTCCCCAGCACAGCACTGTCCTGAGCAAGAAGAAGCCCGTTCCTAAGAGCCTACAGGGTGCCAAGCCTCCACAGCCTCCCACAGACTCGTAGCTTCTTCCATGAGGACAGCAGAGGTTGTGCTCTCTGTTTGCAGGACGGGGGGAGCTGTGGGCAGAGATGCTGCAAGGCAAGGGTAGATTGCCCCTTGCTCTGTGAAAGTGAGGAATGTCTTCTTCAGCCCCAAGGGGCATTGTCCAAGAGAGGACCCTCTGCAGCATGTCGCAACCTCCCATTGTTCTGGGAGTGGGGAAAAGGCTCCTTAAACGCCCATCTTATACCCACCAAGGGCAAGACAATTCTTGCTGGGCGGCTCAGGAGGGCATACGCAGAGGGAAGAAACATCTACAGCCAAGGCTGGGTTGCCGGAAACCTTAATGAGTGTACAGAGGAAAAGGAGGTCACTCTGAGCAGAGGCCCTTCAGTGCAGGGATCTCCAGGGCCTACTGAGAGACATGGACTGTGTTTTCAGAGATCTCAGACTAGCCCCTGGTCAGGCTCCTGCCAATGTTTGCCAGAGGAGGTGAGGAAGGTCAGTCATTCTGAAAGCAATGGCCTGAAGACTCCTCCTTCTGTTGTCCAGCACCATGGTCGTGCTGGAACCCCAGGGCCATGGGCAGTGGCTTTAGCAGGGCAGGCATCTTCTGCCACAGTAGCGGCTGGAAATGCCTGAGAGATCACAGCAGCCGGAGGTGATGGGGACTCCGTCACAGCTGAGGATGCTGCCAACGGCAGCAGAGGTGGAGGATCCCACAACGGTGTTCTGCGGGAAGGAGTTGAAGATGGGGCCGGACAGGGTCACCACTACGGGAGAGGGCTCAATGACAACGGAGGAGTTCTGGCACTGCCTGACGCAGGGCTCATTGCAGCTGCTGGCCAACGGGGTCGGGCCACAGGGCCGGCATGGCAGGCATTGGTTGTAGCAAGATATGTCTTGGGCTGGAGTTGAACCTCTAAGAGAGGGCAGAGAGTAAGCATAGCACATGGGTAGGTGGGGAGCAGTCTGATTACCCAAAACAAAGGAGTCAAGACAACTGGTGATGGTGGATGTGAAGGTTGTGCAAGAATGCTCATGGTCCTCATCACTTTGTACTGACATGGCCCTTCAAAGAGCAGCCAGATCCAAAGAGACAATCACATTGCCCATAACCCAAAAGGCTGCCTCTGCACCATGTCACAGCCTCTCTCTACACAGAACGTCTCTCTCCACCATTCTCCCATGTCAAGGAACTCCAAGGCCTAGCATAGCTCTGAACTATCACCAGATGAGATGTCTATTAATGCAAGACCCCTTCTACTTGAGAAGAGGAGGAGA